CTCACGGCCACAATGATCAACAACATGAGCTGGCACTCAGAACAAAGCACAGTAAATGCTGCTTTTTTCAAAGGACGCTGCATTGTTTGATGCATAACCTCGTCACTCCCGAGTTTGTGGGTAAATTAATATGGGCCGCGGGAAACTGGTCAATACCACTGAATCGAGAGGTCTGCTCCTATGCTGTCGAAACTGTTACCTACCCACATGAATGACTGAAGAAGTCAATCTTTCCTCCCAAAACCTTATTCGTCAATGTTCCTGTGATGCTATAATTTGTTTGGGATGGAGATCAAGAGGCGATGAAAGGGAAGCGGCTGGATGTGTTCTCGAATTCGCGTAATAACGGCTAGAGCGCTTGGTGAAACCGACACTGCTGAGGAGACTCCTGCAGGAGTAAATAAATCTTTTGAGAGAGAGAGTCGAACTCAGAACCAAAACGCACTTCAGTAGAGTTCATCCAAGCTGTGGTCTGACCACCGCAGTTTGCTGCTTGGGCTGTCCAGATTTAAACTCAAATTCATCTTAACGCATGAAGCACCCTACTCCACTGTCCAGGATGTGGGCGAGGTCATCTAACATTAACACAAACTCTGCAACTACCAACAAAAAGCTGGGGTTTTGACATTCCGTTAATTAAAACGTGTTTAGATAGATGCACCTAAAATTCAGCATACCTTACTTCCTATGTACCATTCTTTTTGCATAACCACTGGTAATTGTGCTGGACCGATTCGGTCTAAGATGGATTTGCAGAGGGGACTAAGGAATGTCTGGACGAGATTCAGAGTGAGTGAAAAACGCATTGATGTGTAAGCATATTCTAGAGATTCTAAAAGGATAGGATGATTATTGAATAAAAGAATGTCTGGGTAATGGGGTGGATGGAGAATAGGGGACGGAGGGTCAGACGAGTTTGCTGATTCGAATAGCAAAGTGTTAGGAAAGCTGGTTTCACGAAATTACAAGCCATGGCTTCCATATAGTGGTCTTAAAGGACTTGCGACTCGACAGTAGACCTAGAAAATATCTGCAGCATGTCGATACTTCACTCTACTTCCAGACTCCTGCGGGCAAACACATCCATTTCTCCACTGCTCAGGACGACGAAGATACACTAATGGAAGTTCTCACCTTCGCAACTTTGGTAAAAAAGAATTAATCC